GGGGGGGGGGGCGGGCCCACCCCCGGGTGAGAGGGATGTGGGAAGCTGTGTTCCGCCCTTAGCGTTTCTGCAGCTGTGGTCGCGAACTTTCAAGCCGTTCCAGCAATTTCCAAGAGAATTCTCGAGAAACTACCCCCAAGGACTTGAGGAAAGCTCATCTAGAAGCTCCCTTAAGGGTGCCGTCCTTAATTCGTGCATCCACCGTGGTCGGGAGCTTAAACCGCCCTTGTCTATAAGGACATGGCGAGGAATACTTACCCTGCAACGCCTCGTTACGCCATTTAGAAAATTCATTTTAGGGGAAGCGCTGGTCTACGTAGAAAAGCACAATATAGTTATAGCTATGTGCCATATCGCCATATGAGATGCACCAGGCAAGGAGGTCGGGACCCCCACACTACAGCCAGAGACATCCGTGCACGTGGTCGTCTAGCAGGCAGTGTCTTACATGCCATATGACTACCCCCGTTTTCCCTTATGAATTGATCAGCATCGCGGGGACGAGTCGCCGAGTAGGTACAGCGACATTCGAATAATCGGACTGTGCCCGCGAGATACTAAGAAGAGTATTTACCTCGGCTGGTGGTTTCCCTGCGACACTGACGCACTCTATGACGAGTTCTCGGTCCTCGGTCGTCACCAGGAAATCACCCTGGGTAATTTTCGGTTTCTGAGGCGGCACCAGGACGCTGAGCCAAGCGAATCTTGAGCGCAGCCCAGGTTGTCCGTCATTGGTGGGCGACGCTTGACACTGGTACTTGCCGTCGTCTTCCAGTTCCACGGGATATATGTGCAGGGAGAAGTCGCCTGAAAACAATTAAGAAACAGGATCAGTTTTCAATTGTTCTGTGAGATGCAATGAACAGGTGCAGGCGTCCGTTCGAGTATTTTGTGGCTCCCGTAATTAACATCTCGCTGCGTCGGCGAGAAAAAGCAGCGTGCTCAAATAAACGTCTTTTTTTTTTTTTTATATATTAAAATAAACGTCTCTAGCAGGAATAATCTATCCTTGATAAGTGATTGGGGAAAGAGGAGAGAGAGAGAGAGAGAGAGAGAGAGAGAGAGAGAGAGAGAGAAAGAGGGAGCACCGTTGGCGGCTGGCAGTGGTGGTGCCATCTACCATCGGGATTCACCATGGGGTCGTCCCTGTTTTCCAGGGTGTAACACAACCATTGGTTAATTACGCTCGATAGTCTATTAATCTGCGCAAAATCGGCCATTAGGAAAGGCGAGCGCCAGTTAAACGAATCACTCGCCGAGTGCTTTTCCGGCAAAAGCTCTCTCTTCCTCTCTCTCTCTCTCTCTCTCTCTCTCTCTCTCTCTCTCTCTCTCTCTCCTCTTTCCCCAATCACTTATCAAGGATAGATTATTCCTGCTAGAGACGTTTATTTTAATATATAAAAAAAAAAAAAAGACGTTTATTTGAGCACGCTGCTTTTTCTCGCCGACGCAGCGAGATGTTAATTACGGGAGCCACAAAATACGGTGTTTCTGATTCCTTCCAGGGACACTTTGCGACCTGGTAATTCTGTCAACAGGAGCAAAGTGTTCCGCCTCCTCAGTACGCAGGAATGCCAACAGTAAAGATTAGCCCTAAGAAGATTTAAAGGCCACATCGTAAGTTGGCGCACGGCAGCTTCCCAAGAATTTTCCTTTTATTTGTATTTTTATTACTTTCACTTCATATTATTATTCGTAATTTGGCATTCGATTCGCGTTAATGGGATCTTCGTTATTGCATTTGCGGTCTGTCGCTAATTCTGGTTCAGCTTACAGTATTACGGATGCCTGCGTGAGTGGCCGTGGTGCTTTGTATTGTCCAATACACATTAGATGATTACGGGAAATCATTCGATTGCGACGGGGAACTAGGACGTTTCAAAGTAAAATACAAAATTGCATGGAATAAGTACGATTCGGACGTGTTGGCGATTGGCCTATTCTTAAATTCTCCCACTCTGTTTTATCCTTCAATTTGCGCTTCTGCATTATTATTTTGATTCCATCGACGACGTGACTTTACGTACTCTTGCAAAATTTTACGGAACCCTTAATATTTTTAAAAATGATTAAACGCGACTGAATATACGTATATGTGTCATTAGTGACGTTTTACAGGACGTAAACAAGAATGGAGCGACGTTCCGTCGCGGTGGCTCCTATGGGCCATTATTTAAATTGTTCTGCCTCTCATTTTTCTGGGTTCCCCTTGTCTCGACATCCTGTTCTCCCTTCTGGAATAATACAACGATAGGAGGCGAACTTCCTCGAACAAAGAAGGATTTATTTAAATATCAAGCGGTCGCCTCCCATTGGGAGTCTTATGTCCTTTGTCTACCATAGGGACGCAGGTTCTCCATCAGGCATTTTTCACTAAATGAGCAATCGATCGTAGTCATCGGAATGTGCGCGTCCCCTTTCTCTTTCTTTCTCCTACAAAACGGTACCTATGGCACGTGTCTCCTCAAATCTTGCCAATTCCCTCGAATTATCATCCTTTGTTTATCGTGAGAAGCTCTTCTTCTGCCTTTGCCAATTGTAGCCTGATTCTGGGCTGTTTGGATTTACATGCGTTTTCGTATAGTATCACGTGCATGTTGGAGTCAGCAGCTTAGGCCGGACTTCTGATGGAAATAATTAATGCGTTTAATGCCGGAAGCCGGAAAGGAGTTTCTCGCGTTAGGAGTTAGTGTTCGAGCGTTAGTGTTCGAGAATGGCCGTTTCACGCAGGATTCGTGGCAGCCGAGAAACTTTGGGAAATTCGAAACACGCGAAACACGCGAGGGATCAGGGGCTCGGCCCCGTCTAAGCTGGAAGAGCGACTAAGGCCACTAATGGTGGCCATGTTGGTCATACTGGCCAAACTCGCTCTAGGAAGGGAGGCTGCTGAAGGACGTATAAGGAGAATAAAAAGATACAGCTGCACACAGAGCCTTTCGTTAATAGTCAAAAAAATGGATACTTCAAGTTGAACCTCAATCCGAACTCTGTGCTATTGACAGGCTCGGAAACTCTCTATACAAGATATTGTACAATGAGAGGCATTTGGCTTACCGAGGCCATTTTGGCACCTATATCTCTAGTGCAATGGGAATTGCATAATTCTTATTCTGCGTTTCTTCGATTATGTAATGCCTTGGCAGCTCACGGAGACGAACAAGAAATTGGTTCTTGCAACGATTAGTCTGCCTCAAGGAACTAGGTCATCTCTATAATTTTTTCATTATTTTTTATGCTGCATAGAAACTCATATACAGAAATTTATCTGTGCTCAGATGCAAATGTGGTTGAGAAAATAATGAAGTTCCTAACAAGGGACGCGTGGCTTTGCATGCAATTTTTCTTAAGAACTATGCTTGTGCATAATTTTGCACTGAGATATATATATATTTTTTATATCTTGGTGTATATTTCCCTAATTTCATGGAAACCACTCTCTTTTGCTAAGGATTTCACTGTTTACGAACTGTCAAAATAAGACATTGAACTGACGGACTGACCAATCGCTCTCTCCCTAGACTCCTCCATGGTAGATTCGAGCACCTCGAGTTCAACTACACAATAAAAAATTGATCCAATCTCTTCTTAATAATATATAAATTAATAAGAAATGTATTTTTTACTATATTCCGCTGTCAATATTGACAGTACTATGTTATACTCCTACGGCTAGGCCAGATTGCTACACAATGGACGTCATGTCTACAAAAGGTGGTACAGTGCTTTGAACAAGAGTTCAGAGGAGTCGAAGCAATTCTGAGAACGACCGCCGCAAGCCGGCACATTTGGTGAATTCGGTAAATCCTGCGTAAAATCGTGCGCATTGACGCATGCTCGGGATATTTTAGGCTCGCACCATAGATTGCAATTCCAGGCTCCCCGAGTGTGCCACGAAAAACGGTGGAGAGAGCGTCGCGTTTCCATTGAGCGAAAGGTTGCAGAATGGAATCGCAGTCAGTATCTGGGCCAACGAGGCAGAAGAAGTCAAAGGGAGTAGAGAAAAGGGGGAAAAAAAAGAAAAAAGGTAAATACAAATGACGGAACAAGAAGGACACATATAGCGAAGAGCGAGAGAGATAAAATATTGCATTTGAGGAAAAATTGCGGTCATCGGCATTTCCAAAAAGCCACTCTGCTCGGTACCCATTCGAGTGCGCGCGCGCGCGCGCGCGCGCGCATGTGCAGCGTGTGGCGTGTATCTTTATGTATATAACACATGCACCTACTGTGTACATATAGATGCGCCAATGCTTTTACGCTTTTAAGGTAAGCATGTGCAGCGTGTGGCGTGTATCTTTACGGCATTTCCAAAAAGCCACTCTGCTCGGTACCCATTCGAGTGCGCGCGCGCGCGCGCGCGCGCGCATGTGCAGCGTGTGGCGTGTATCTTTATGTATATAACACATGCACCTACTGTGTACATATAGATGCGCCAATGCTTTTACGCTTTTAAGGTAACGAACTGGATAGCCTAGACAGATCTGCTCCATTTGCTAGAAATAGAACGATTGGATTCCTGAAGTGGAGCACTCGATGTCCGGGAGTCGCCGAGTGCAGTAAGAATCAGTATCGGCAGGTACGCATGCACTTCTAGCAATTCCAAAACCTAAGTCGTCGAACGACCTGACGTCTTGCAAGTCTCAGGATTCGCAGAGAGCCCTCGTCCGAATGCACTACCAGGAAGCTGTACGCGTGGCCACACCAGAGGCACCTATGCAGCATGCATGAGATACGTGTGCTCTATTGGCAATGATATTGCGCCACTTGCCGCACAAGGACGGCTTCTGCACAATACAGTTGCTCTCTAGTAACAACTGTCGTAATTGCAACTGGAAAGTAGTAGCTGTCGGTTTGCCTGAATGGCACACACACACGCGCGCGCGCGCCATTTGCACACGATGCGGATGAGATATCTAATTGGGAATCGCGTACTGGGACGTAATTAAGGGAGAATTTCGAAATATGAAGTAACGAAGAATACATTCACAAGAGAATTTCATAGTGTGCGAGGCAAAAGTGTCCTCGAAATTTTAGATTATTTAACCAGATTGTCTTTTTCGTTCAGTCTAGATCAATAAAGAGAATCGATCTATCCAGCGCTGTCCTGGAATTGCATTGAATTGCAAATGGCCGATTCCGCTCACGATTATTAGCGTATGCATAGTGTATGAGATGGTGTGAGTATTACATATATTCGTGGATGGGATGGAAGGCAAATTAGACGGCCAAAGAATTTTCCACGCAACTCCAGATTCGTTTGATGCGTATGACGCACTGGACCATCTACATATAGATGGATACGGTGCGACAATCGCATATACATCTATGTATATGGCAGCAATGACGTATCTATATATATTAATTTCATAGGTGAGAAAAGCAGTTCCCGTTGGACCTCGGATGCGTTCGTAACTGGAGCCGTGGACAGCATCATTCTCTGTAGGCTTGGAATTGCAACTGGCGAACATCCCGATGGCGGTTTCCACCTATTGATCTATGGCAGAACCATTAACCACTGGAGCGTGCACCAAATGTTTCAGAACTAATTTAAACTTGCTGCAATTCCAGGAGTGACGTCATTTTAGAACCTTCGAGTCTGCAATTCCGGTGCTCTGTCGGCTCCCGCCGAACCACCAACGATACTAACAGCAGCATCTTCTCCTCAAGTATTTACGCTGGTGTATAGCTGCCCCCCCCAAAACTACATATTTACGTACATTTTATGTAGAGCAGTTGATACAAACTATGCTGCACATTTTGGCCCATTGCTGTGAGCATTGGAGCATCCCACTACTGTCACGTTTCAATGTGCATTTCCCACAGGCTGTCTACTTCGAATGCACCTGCATGCTCTCAGCACGTGCAGCTGAAAATTGTCTTGCAATCGCGAATCATACGGGATACTCGGGTGCCGTAAATAGGAAGCAGCTTCCTGCCAACCGAACGGCACTAAAACTCCCCACGTTGTCCGAATTCTGCCTTAGTTGGAACTAGTAGTTGTGCTTATGCAACGTTCGGAGCCTGCTAAGTGCATTAGGCTGCGTGGGACGTGTCCCTTGTGCCAACTGCCGAGAGAGCTCGTTAGACACGTGTTTGACAATTCCTCCAGAATTACCAAAAGGACATATTGAGGCTGAATGTATTTATTGTAAGAATCTACTGGATCTTCTACTGGAGCTTCTCGAAGGATCCGCCTAGTTTTCCCACATTCTCCTGACATTCGTTGCTGCCAGTAATTACTGATTACTGATTAGCAATTGCTCCCGATAGTCCGACAGTCCGGTCGCGACGTCTCGTTCCGTAGGTCTCACGCGTCTGCGCATTTCGTTCGAAATTCAGTACTTTGGAAATTATCGATCTAAGGACGATTCAATAAAGATTTCTTCTTTGCAGAATGTATCGCGCAAGACAGAAGGGTACGATGCCAATTTCACCAGCGTGCCAATTTCATTTCTCCTTATTCATTCATGCATATTTGCACGAACACCTGTAAACGTATGTTAAACAAATGAAATAAAGGCATGAGATTGCTGACTCGATCGATTCTTGCCAAGGACGACAGGATGATTCAAGATGGAGGCGAGTCAGGACCAGACCGAACGAGAATTCTCAACAGGCTCGGAAAAGGAGCGGACGATTATATATTCATCAATCCGGAGAAGGACTCTTCGCGCGAATGCTATCCCCTAAACGTTTTCAAGGAGCGTCGCGACGGCGACGCTTTCGATGGCGCCGTCATTGTCATTCCTTCTTTCCCTTCTTTCCCTGCTTTCCCTGCTTTCCCTGCTTTCCCTGCTTTCCCTTCGCCCGCTTATCTCATTTGTATTAATATCTCAAATTAAAAATTGGCAAAACTCTCCAAGGCGCATTGAAAAGGCTCAAAGACGTGGCTGCTGGCTAAAGGCTGCTAAAGGCTGCCCATAGGCTACGGTCGTGTCCAGCCGTGTCTCTCTCCAGCGCGCATACAGCTAATGACTGACCTTCCTCGTCGCTGCCAATCATGGCGTATCTCTCGTAGCCCGTGAGGTTCCTCACAGCTCCAAGTCCAAAATCGTCTTTCGTCCATTGGATGGGCCCTTTCTGATCGAGGACCCGACACGGCAGCGTGACCGTGCTGCCGATGACGGCGGTCTGGTCCATTGGCTCGGTCGCGAATCTCTGGTAGACCATTTCCGTGGTGGTGGCAGGCCTGCCTGTCGACGGCTGGAACGACGCACTCGTGGCGTCGGACGACGTCGCCCCCGCGAGCGTAAGCGCGCACCAGGTGAACGCGAGGAACAGTTCGATCCTCAACACCGTCTTCGACCTGTAACAAAGGAAACGGAAGATTTTCATAAGAATCTGAGAATAAAACTATTAATCCTTTAAAAGTATCATAAATGTAAAAAAAGTATCTCGATTTCCCAGTCGCACCAGCGCAAGGAGACGCAAGGAGACGCAATTTGCATCGGACTATCGATGGCAAATGGACTCCCGATGCATTCGCACGCTATTATTGTAATGCACAGCTGCTTGACAAATGCCAGGAGAAACAGCGAGTATTATGATACCAGCCAGTATCGAAGAGAACTTTATTGCAGTGGCAGGAGGGTTGCGAGGAGACGTGTGCGCAACACACGCGAGTGTATACATATATATGTGGGATCCACGAGGGTAGGTAATGCGTGATACGGGCCAATAATGCGAACCGGCATTAGAACGCGATGGCCGACGATAAATTAGCGAAAGAGACACGCGTGCGCATGCGCGCGTCCACACGCGCACACGCAGGTTACGTTAGCTAAGGAGCAGCAAGCTAAGGTTACGCAGCAAGGTTCCCACAGCTGTGCCAAAACTATGAAAGACTTGATGAAATTTCGGACGGTTTTGGCAGGAAGATCGGCGGCGCCACTGGACGAGTGCAGGTGGATCGGCCACTCCGGGAGATGCAGCGCAGGGAAACGCAGGGAAAGGAGGCGCATGGAAACAGACTCGTGTCTTGGGTTCCTGCTAGTCGCCTCGCGACTCTGCAAGCTCGTTGGCCGCAAGACATCGTAAGACGTCTCGTACGACAAGGCGAGCCAGACTTGTAGTCGCTTCTTATTACGAGCTGAATAGGATAATAAGCGGGAAGTCGGTGGCTTAAACGTCTGAATGGAATATACAGGCTAATAACAATAATTGTGCTTGTGCCCGATGTGGCTTATGGCTTAGAGAACATCCGCTTACGCTGCACGTAGATGTTGTAACGTCGTAACGTCGTAACGTCGTAACGTCGTGTCTGTACATAGAGAGACACGTGCACTCCAGACCTACGTACGTTTGGTTGGAGAACACAGATGCACCCGCGCGCTTGGAAAGCAACCCGAATAGGTTCCGAGCTGACCAATAAATTATTGGCACTATCAAAGTGTGCCTGCCCCTTGCCGGTGCTGCTAGCTCGGGGTCGCCGTCTCCGAGAGAAGCCCCGGAAGTAGTCAGACGTTCGCATTTTCGATGCCGAATGCCTTTCGAATGCCTGAGGCACAAAGTACTACCTGATAAGCTACGTTTGTGGAAGGAACTAATCATTATGTCATTCGCGTTAAAGAAATTTGCGAATTAAGGATATTCGCAAAGCTGAGTGTGGCGAGTGAATATTGAGTGAATGATTAATGGAGTCGATCAGCTGGCTAATTGTCGCAGTAAATATATTCCGAGTTCTGCGCTGAGCCTCCTTCGGCAAGCAGCAACCAACGACGCGTCCGATAATTTGCAGAATGCTGGACCAGACACGCAGGTCAAAGGTCCGCTCCGAGGAGAAACGTGTCGGGACGACCAGATTTCGAAATGCCTGAGAACTCGCGCGAGCGGAAGTCGAGCGGATTCGTTGGACTTTTCATCGGTTCGTTTATGCGTGGAGAAGGAAGATTTCGGCTGAATTGCTCTGGCGAATGAAGATGATCATTTCCAGAGGCCTCTAGTGGGCTTCGACCTGCGCGATACGGCGAATGAACGGTGAAAAGCAGCCTTAACAGGCAGTGGTCAAGTGCTAATTGATTGTTTGTCTTGCGTGAGTACTGCGGCGAGAAATCAAAGGTTTGGATAGAGTTAGCGAGGAGGGGGGCGAGGGGGGCCGAGGGTGCTGGGGTGGGGGTGGAAAGTTGATGCTGGAAAGGATTGGAGAGAGACGAAGAGGGGGACAGACATATAGACGTATGGCGCGAGAGAGAGCGAAAGCCAGCCTCTCCTGAGACGCAGCCGGGCGGAAGCTGTTTGCACGAAAGCTAAGCTTTATTCGTATCTGGGCGCACAGGGTCTGCATTAAAGAGCCATTAACCCTCCCTAATCCAAGTATGACGGCGCAACTGGCCACTGCTGTGTTTCGCCATTACGCGAGAAGTCCTGAAGATCCATCGTCAGTGGTTGAGTTTTAGCGGAGAATCGCCAAGAGAAAGAAAGGAGAAAGAAAGGAGAAAGAAAGGAAATGGGAAGCAGGAGAGCCCTGCAGTATGAATTTCTCATGATCCCACGAGAAAGCTCTGTCATCTCGAAACCTTTCTAACTTTCAGAATAAATACCTTAATAATACGTGTGGACTATTATTATCAATGAATTATCACACGTCGAAGTTTTAAAGAGAGCGATAAGACAATATTCCTACCAAATGTTGATTTCTTTTAGACGTCAATTTGCTTCCACTTCTCTCTCTCTCTCTCTCTCTCTCTCTCTCTCTCTCTCTCTGTCTTTCGGTTAGCACTTCTTTCTGTCTGCTAAAGGCACAACTGTTGCGACTGGATGCATTGTGTGCTTGCACAACAATCAACATTGGCTGGGTTCGCCATTGTGCATACAGAGTGCATCGGCATGCAAGTCACTCTGTGCCTCTAGTAGTAGTTACAGCACCACTGGTGCATGCTGGGAAATAGGACAGGCAATAGTAGCAGCGAGCGAGTAGTCGGGCGGAGCGCATGCGCATCTGCATCTGCATAGGTGCACACGTGTGCAAGGAGAAAAGGCAAACTAGAAAATTGATACTCGCCTGCTGACGCGTTGAATGTTCGATTGCATCCGCGATGCAACCTTCGATACTTGAACCCTAAGAAAACAGTCTGCGCCGCCTGTTTGCCTTGCTTAGCTCGCGCAGCACAGCAAGAGTGGCGACACGCCGCATCGGCAAGACGCCGTTACTGTTAATTCGAATGTGCAACAGTAGTCAAAGGATCTAGAAAAGTAGGAGCCATCCTCCCCTGAAACTCTGTGCCGACCCAGTTTCGCCACCGAACCTGTCCGACGCGACCTGATCCCTCCCCTCTACTCACATCTGGACCTGGTCCAAGGCTCCAATCCCACGTGGCCGCTTGCAATAAATACTTAATCGCCTATACATGGGATACACGTGCACACGTAGAATGGCGACTCGCGCGTGTGCCAAGTCCGACGGTCGCACTCGCACGCTCGGATCGCGCACGCACCACCACTGCTCCTATGCACTATTACCTGCTATAGGTCCAAAGGGCGGGTCACCAGTTTCCCGCTACAAGTGGATAAATTGCGATTTAGCGAAATACTATACTGCGGAAGCAGGTAGCACGGCGCATCTTCGGGCAGGCGAGTATCCACACACGTGCGACTTACGTGATCTGATTGTAAGAGGGGGGGATGCTAATGTGAGAAAGTGCGCGGGCAACAGATTTCTATCTTGATAGAAAGTGTCGGGACCTAATGGGATGCTGGGCGGTTATCTTATCACGGGCTCCGAGGGTTGGGGCGATTGTTCGATCTCGTTACCGTGATAAAAGGTAGTGCGCCAACGACTCCGCAGGAACGAGAGAGCGAGAAGGGAAGAGAGAGGGCAGAAGAGATGGCGCGATAGGCGCCAGGGGAGGGGCAGGAGAGGTAGCTGGGGTTGAGGAGGAGGAGGAGGAGGAGGGGGGGGAGTTGGGAGTCGCGAGGCGAAGCGCGTTACGGTTGTTGTGCAGATGGGACGTTTCATTAATTAGCTTAATCTTCAATTAGCCGGGAAACAAAGCGACTCCACGGTGCATCCTATTGTCAAAGAGAAGATAACCTTCCGCTTCGTCCGATCGATTCTCGTAGGGATCGGGTTAAGCCGCTACCTCTTAATTATTAAAAATCAATCAAGTCCTTCGGTAGTTCTGCACAAATATTGTTAGTAGTCGAGACAGACATTCGTCATTTACACAGAGACATAGAAAGATAGACCTCTTAAAATCGCCAAGAAGAGGGACAAAATTGATAAGCAAGCATCAGAATAGAAAAAAAAGGGATGCAACAAAGTTTGAATGGCGAAATGGGTCCAGTGGGCCAGACGAGGGGAGGAGTCAAGGGGTTAAGGAATCGAGGTCGAGTGTATACACTAGAGCCAATTCCGTGAATATGCGGGTGCACGAATGCCCCAAGGAGCGCGCGGTCGTTACCCATAATACCCAATGATATATACGGTAGAGCCGTATAGGCACATTTATATACGTACATAAGATACATCCATATTATATATTATACATACGCCCGAAGGCGACTTCTTAATGCCATAGTTGCGAAGGAAGTTTGTCTAAGGGCGCGCCATCCTTTGGAGCATTATTCGCTTGCACAGTGAGGTCGAGAATCGATGCCGCGATTTACTTTTACCACGTTACTGCCAAGAGCCCACTGAGCTGCCGCTGCTGCCTCCTCTTGGGCACAGCCACTGTCCTACATTGAGTTTCAGAGCATTCCAGCCCAGCCGGCACAGCATCACGATGGACCATCTTATCGTACCACCAGCCTTATCAGGCTGCTGACCCAATAGCAAAAATCGTCCACTTCCTGGCGTAAACAACAAACGCCTCCGTTGCTTTGGACACGCGACCTCAAATTCGTAGGGACATTTGGAAAAGATGTCAGAGTAGTCTGAAGCTTTCATTTTCAATTTCATGGAGACTCAATCACAGAGATTCGAACGACAATATGACGTCGGCGAACGAGGGAAAATAAAACGTGGACACCCTCGTTAAATCCAGCGTGTCACATTTTCCCTCGTGGATTTACAAAGCTGCCGGATTAATACTTAAAAAGCATTGACGTGCCCGTTCTGGGTGCATCCAGTACAAAAACCGAATCCCGTGGTTCCGTAATAGATATTAACGAACACCCCTTGAGTTGTCAGGGTGAGTGAGAGGAAAGAATACATGAAAGGCAATACAGAGCAAGCAAGGGACGGAGGGAGGGAGAGGGTGAAGTGCGATAGGATAGAACCCAGGGGGCAAAAAGCACATGGGGGCTGAATAGGGAGCCCGGCGTGACAGGATCGTGCCAGGAGATAAATCGTTCCCGTTACCGGATCCT